CCAACATACAGCCACTACATAGCTCACGCGTACTCACCAAAAGAAAAAAGTCTCTGGGCTTTAAAAGCCACGCTGATGCTTTATCGCGGTATAGCACCGAACAGCTGAGCCTCTGCACAGCTCTCCCGCGAAGGCAAGGGGGAGGAAGCACAGCCCTGCTGCTTCCGCATTCACGTAAAGCACGGCTGTCAGATTGCCTACCACTGGCTTCAGCACTACCGGATCTCCAAAAACGCCGGGAACGCAGGGAAAGCGCTCCTTCCCAAACCCCCCGGGAGTGGAAGGAGGCACCAGTGGCTCCTCTAGTCTATAAACTGCAACTCGCCTGCACGTCTCTCTGCTGGTTACAGCAGCTCTCACCAGGTTTTCTTTCAGGTCCTCCACTTTTTCTCTCTCATCTAGATGAGTGGCGAGAAATCTGGACGTACGCAGACACCAAGGCTGTCACTTGTGAGTTTTATTGTCAGGTATGAGAAACGCCACCTAAGTCAGTGATTCAACAGTGAGCCAAGATCTTGCTGAAACCCGATGACTGCCAGACCCACCCTGCCAGGTCTATAAATTCCCAGGATTTTGCAGAGTAACGGTGCAATCTGAAATGAAATTTGCTTCTGAAGGACAGGTTGGTGGCCTAAAGGTTTTGATTTATTTCAGAGTGCTGCCTTAGACTGGCTGATGCACAAGCAAGGCACACAGGTACCCTGCTGTTGAGAGGCCACTACAAACACCAAGAATTCAGTAAAAGCAGGAAATGCTAATGCCAGCCCAAAAGACAAGTTATGACAAGTACAACGCAGTCCCCTCAGATCCAGTTTTACCTGGATTATGCCTAGCACAAACCAGTACTTTTGCACAAGAGAAAGCTTCATTCTTGGCAAGAAATTACATGGTAGGGGAGATCTCTCAAACCCCGTCATCTTCAAGAAGGGTGAAGATTTTTTTTTGGGGGGGGGGGAGGGTAGGGGGTGTTTCTTAATGAGAAATAGAAATAAAAGGACTCCTTTTTCTATTTGAAAGTACAGATTCAGACATTCTATCAAGAATTTAACACTCTTGCCATGTTTTTTCCCAACACAGTGCAGGACCCAAAAGCATTCTTGAACACTAAGGTTCATGTAATTTACCAAATCTGAGTCAGAAAGATTGTCCAAAATAGTGATCTGCATCTCAGAAGAGTGGTCAACAGCCAGCAAAAATATGAAAATCTTGACATCTAGAAGGAAGGACGCTACCCAATATATTCCCCGACGCATACGCATTTTGAAAATTGCATCAAAATTCATTTTGTAATAATTTCTTCATGAGACAGTTGAGGTTTAGTGATCTAGAAAATTGTCCTCGAGAACTGAATATTCACTGCTGCATATTCTCATATCTTTCCAGGGAATCTTGATGTTCAGGAGAATATTAACATGAAGTACGTACAATATTCTGTGGCATGTTTATAAGCCAATGGCTCCAAGCGTAACCTCAAATGCCATTCTACCAACAGTTTGCCACATTCAGCAAATCTAGCAGAAGAACACTAGAGCCTTCCAGGTGGACCACTGCTATCAGTCTTCCTTTAGTTCTGTTCAAGCAATTTCATGTAACACACTTCAGCTATACAGATAGCAGCAGAACGTGGCTCAGAATCCATGGACTCATATTTGGAAATGTCCACAGGCACAACCAAAGCTGAAAATCCAGCCTCAGTTCTTACTTAAGCATTACTTAACACTTAGAACTAGTTTTCTTTTGGAAAAGAGATTTTAAAAGAAATACTTTTATCCCTCATTAGAGGACAAATGTGAAAAGCATACGGTTCCCACTGGGTACATTTATCTTAAATCAAGTTAACTTTCTGGAAGCTCACTACTGTATATACTAAGTGAAAACAAAACATCTCTTATGACTTCACAACTAGAATTTTAAAAAAGCAAGAAACTGCAGGATTTAAGGTTTTTATAGCAATGTTAGTTTAGCCAGGTTATACATCCTGAAAGCTACAAAAAAAATTTAAGAAGGAAAGAACATTACAATCTGTGAAGTTCATACTTGTGTTAAAAATACTCATGGAAAAATCTAGCTGTTTGCTTTCCAGAAGCCGCTATTTAGTCTTTTTTACTTTTTCAAATTAGAAGAAGCCTTTGCAGAATTATAAATAAAACACAAAGCTCCATGTGACTTTCCCATATGTAATTTTTTAACAGCCAAGTGATTTCCTCTATCCCGTCCCAACTGTTTGCACACAAAAAGAGTGTTTGCCAAGTTTCTACTAGAGAATATTTTAAGCCAAATTTATAAAACCAAGAAAATAAGGATTTTGTTAATACCCTTTGATCAGAGATACCCCTCATAAGAAAAGTTAAACTGTGGAGGGAACCAAGACCAGGAAAAAACTGGGGGGAGAGGGGGAAGCAAAAAAAGGTTTGGCCTTCAACTTCTGAGGGATGTCAGTGTGCCAGTACAGAAGATGTGGGGAACAATAAGAATGCCCAAATTAGCTTGTCTGAGGTTTTAAGAGCAGTATATTTAGCCTTCCTGCTTCTGCATGTGTTCCAAGACAGCAAATATTCTTCACTCATTGAGCTAACAAGCAGGCCTCACCCAAAAAGTGAGAAGAGAAAGGTTAAGAGAGCATCTCACTCCTATTCCTCCAGGTCCAACTGGCAGATGTGGTGTACAGGAGGATTGCCTGGTCTGCTGCCATCCCTGCTGCCTTTGTTACCACTACAGCAACAGCTCCCGAGAAAGCCCAGTATCTGAATGGCTCCTACTCTACGTGTCTCACCCAGAAAACTTGGGGAAGTGACCTAAAACCAGGCCTCCACCTTTCGGAAGCTGGGACATCCTGCTCGTCTACAGGAACAACTTGGAAGGGAAATCTGAGCAACCCTTCCTGGCCAGAGGCAGCGGCAGGCAATGCACGCATACCTGGACAAGAGAAGGATGCCTGTGCCGGAGGAAGAGTCAGAGGATGAAGTACAAACTGGCTTTCACCTGAACACGTAGGGCAGCCCCGCAAGGGAGAAAAGAATGTCACCTGCCGTCACGTAACATTAAGATTACCACGTTAGACTGCATACCCTAACGTAGAAATCAGAGACACGTTCTTCCCAGGACACCAAAAAGATATCTTTTCCACTCTGAACTGCAGCACGGCATTCATTCCCACTGACCTCGCTTTTCCCCTTGGATGAAGAACACACCCGCTCTACTATCTTGATCAATGCAATCTCAAAAGGTCCTTCATTGCACAGAACAGCTCAGTAAAGCAAGTCTGGCAGCCTGACAGAAACCCACACTGGGACACCTTGAAATGCACGCGTTCTGCTTGACTGACACCAAATCTTACTAATATCTAAATACTTCTTTGACTCCAGGGGTGGGAAAGAGCAGCCACGGACTGGTGACAACTTGCAGCTTCACTTCACGTGGCCAACAGACTGTGTCATGAACATGTAACACTAACACTTCTATTAACACGTGGCATGCACATCAAGGGGTTTGAAAAGCCTCCTCAACCCTAACCAGAGAAGGTGCTCTCTGGTCCTACTCAAAGCCAGAAAGGTGAAGGGGAAGAGGTTCTGTCTTTATTAACTGCTGTCTAGTTCAGCCATGCTTGATGCCTGCACATCTCCAAGATTTATGGTTACTTCCTGTTGACAGTTAACGTTCTTCTGCAATCTATTTCACCTATTTTCAAAAGACGGATAACTTTTTTTTTTGGTAAGCCAAATTCTGGTCTTTATATAAGCACAGGATCAGGACTCAGAATGACTTGTGGTCCATTCTCAAATTGCACTGGACTTCATGTTTGGCAAAGTCACTGTTTCCTGTTCTTTGATTTTCTATCAGCTGAGTAAGAACTGAAGTTACCATATCAGAGGCAGAGTCATTAACTCTTGTAGATAACTTCCATTATTTTACACTACGCAAAAGACTTTACATGTTTTTAATGCTAGTTCAGTATAATGTTTGTATAAGTATTAAAACTAACAGAATTCAGATCTAAGTTAAGTAAGATATCACAGGTTTCGGGACTGGACACCTCAAGATATTCTGATTTCCCCATAATGAGGGAAAATTAATACAGATCAAATCACCTTTTTTGTGCAAACTAACTGATGACAATGATGTTTTTAGGGCAAATCTCCAGCCTCCAGGGAACTATCAGAGAAAATGTGGCAACTCACCCCTGCCCTGGACCAAAGATCGAACACATCAAGATTACTACGTTCTTTTTCACTCCTGCAGGACAGCAAAAAGACTGAAAGCATACCTCAAGCTAAACATGGAGGATTTCATTGTTAACTGCAGTAAGTTAACACCAGATTTCAATTTTCCCTTCCAACTTCTCAATCTTGCCAGGACTCAGTTTTTAAAAAAAAATAAGGTTTCTTTTGCATTTCAGTAATTCTCCCCTTTCAGTCTCCAGCACAAAAACGGATGATAATTTATGAAGGTTTCCAGCCACACACAGTTTTTGGCTGAAATCACCGCTACAAGCCAAAAAACAATCAGAGGCTTTTAAAATCCAGACGGGAGTTGTTTAGCAATATTCCTTTGTTAAGCCAGAACCCTAGCACTGCCCTTATAAACCAAATCAGCATTAAAAAAAGACAAAAATAAGCTCAATGCTTCTGACATCTTTGATTATAGCAGAATAGTCTAAGTAAGAAGCAATAAATATAATGCCAACAGTCTCCGAGGTAACCAGCGAAGCGGTAGCGGCAAGTGGCATCAGGAATGAAAATTAACGCTCTCATAAATTTCTCCCAAAGTGCCCAGGAAATCAGAACTCCATACGACTAAAGATTGACAGCTCCCTCCCCACTCCTTGCAGTAACACACACATATTTGTAACACAATACAACACTAGAATCCCAGTCACAAAATGCCACAGTGATAACTCAAGTTCTACAAGCAGTATTTTTTTTATACCATGAAATATCTTGTTTTCCTGTCTCCATACCCCATAAATACTTTTTGTACTTGAAAATACAGACAAAACTCACCAAAGACTTCCCCATGGCACTAGATGCATGAGAAACTATGCAACAACTTTTGGGGTTGGGAAGCCAGCTCAGATGCTAATTTTTCAAGTCGGGAACACAAAGAAAGAGAACACTTGTACCGGCTTCAACATCTCTCTTCTTCATATCTTGAGGTCTCTGCTAACAGATTCTAACAATCAGGACACACGAATTCATACTGCAGCATCTTCAGCTTCCTTCCTGAAGGACTCCAGCTATTGATTCCTGATAAGCTGCCAATCTGGTCCCTGAAACAAGCCAGAGAGTGTTCAGGAAACATTCAGGAAAAAAGCTGGGAAATAAGAGGCGGTTGCAAGCAGATCCCAGCACGCAAGAGGTCAGGCCAAATTCACAAAACTTTCTATATCCCACCATATCTCAGAGAGATTGCAAGAACTTCCCAACTTCCAAATAATGAACCAACAAGGACCTTAATTGCAAAAAGGTGTCAAAGCCTGTATATCTGAACTGAACTATTTCAAGCTCTCTACAGACTGGGGAATATACAATCCAATGAGTTGAACTAGGGGGACTGACTTTGTAGTCGTAAGTACTAGATTTTGCTCTAAACTGAAGTCCGCGCTTCTTAGCCACAAACCTGAAACCAGAGGCAAGATTTAGAAGTGAAGCCTTAAATAAAGATTGGGACATGAATACTGGAAGAAAAAAAAAAAAAAAAAACAACCACCCACAACTAACCAAAAACATGCTACAGAAGAGCTGCTGCCTGGAAGAGTTTTAAAAGAAGTACTTTGTCCAGAAGTGTTTCTGTTACCATCTGAAATGTTCTCCCTGCATTTGCGATATCAAAATCTCACTCTTTTCTCTTCAAAGCCTATCTCTTCCCACACTTACGGTAAAGACCCCTGCAATTTAAAAGACACAGAAAAGCACACCAAAAAAACCCAGACTCAACTAATGCCTACATTTCTCCACTCAGCAGGGTCACCTTTCTGCATTACATCATATGTAGCAGATCACACAGTCCTCAGAGAAAATGCTACTTTTACTGCTTCTGAAGCACCACATACACTGACAACCATATGCAGATATTAAAGGTAGTCAAACAGGCATTTTTCCTACAGAAAAACTGCTTCTAGGCTTTATTTTCCACATGAATTCATAACTCTCTGAATAGCAAACACTCTGGCTATAGTTAAAGCAACTAACTGTAAATCTTGATGAAAGTCATTAGGAATATAAAATATCCATTACCCCTTTGGACTAGATTTGAACTGATGACCTAATGATGTGACACCTGATAGTTCTTTAACAAGCCTTTGATCAGAGAATTGCATTAGCAAATACTTAAATCCCAGGAGATGATACTTCCTGGGGAGAAAATATTAGACAAATGAAGTCTTCAGAAATAAAAGATTCTAGATTTGTGCAATTCTAACGAGCAGCAAAATATAAAGAATGGTCGCCAGATGTTTCCGATGAGTTTTTGGAAGATCCTTATGTTACAAGCACACAGTTTTGTACCAGAAGTCACAGCTCACAAAGTTCAGCCTTTGCTACTTAATCTCAGGTAAATACAGCAAATTCAAAAAAGCGTCTCTCAAACCTTTAGAAATCAGCACACTTCTTGAATACAAATACACACATTACTCCATCTTGAGTCAATGCACTAAAAACTAATATTTTCACAATCTATGTATCAACTGCATCATACCAAATATGCTGATCCTGGCATCTAACATCTCCCCTACCAGAATTATTGAGACTTTGTAATCCACGGACCTTGCACTGATATCCTGTGGAGGTAGGATATCCTATGCCAGTGGAGGTAGGTGTAAGTCCTGATGAGGCAAGCACAAGTTCTCACCTGGTTTCAAAGAGGCATCAGCTGAAAGCAGCAATGACATTTCCTCTTGAAGTGAAGCATCCTGTAATATTTTATTAGGTTGTAAAAATTTCACAATGGTACATCTGCCAGAGAGGCAGGCAGAGCCAAAAGCACAATTAACAATTTCCAACAGAGGGTTGAGGCTGTTTAACATTTTAAAAGAAGCACGGCATATGCGCAGGTGCTCCGTTTCATCTGAGAGTCTCCACACAAAGAAGTTTCCTGACCAGCAGCAATGCCTTTAATCTCCCTGGTGAAAAATATTTCTGCCTTGAATAGCCATCAGTCCCTTTCACTGCACGTGTAAGTAAACTTAACCGCAACTGTGACCACTGCTACAAAAAGGCTCTCCAGAAAAAGCATCTGTATGAACACCTATATGACTGCCTGGGGGCGTTAGTCTTTTGTTAGGTTTGCTTTGAAGCTACAAGTGTACTTCAGATGCCCTGCGCTCGTTCCGCAAACATACCAACCAAAAGTCTTAAGTCATCCACCTGAAGACAGTCACATTCTCCAGTTTGTATCCAAGAAACACACAATATGCAACTCACTGAAAAGAGTTATCTATCAAAGTTCATATTAAAGCAGTTTCAAGAAAAGAAAGAAAAATGCAACGTAAGTTACAAAAACAGGTTACAAGTCTTCCAAAAGCATCACAGATCACAGTAAAAGCTTTCAGGGTCTCCGAAGCGACCTGGTTTCATAAACACCCTTCTGATTAACCCTTTTGCAGCTTTCGAGAAAGATATGATCTCTGTTGTTGCTAAGCGCATCTGCCAGAGCTTGCCAAGGAAAGCATGAGCAAGCAGCTTCAAAGGCAGAATGACGAACCTATAGCAGTAAACCCTAATCCACGCAACTGAACTTAGTCATAGAAGATGGAATTATAAATTCTGAAACAAAACATGGATCTGAAGGAATTAGCAGTCATCCCAAGATCACGTTGCAAATCTTGAGCAACATTTAAATAACAACTGTTGTCAGGGATGATAAACAGGAGAGTAACATCAACATCTCTCACAGGAAACCTTTGGCAGATGGGGATAGGGAACTCAGCATCCAGGTCAGTCTAAAACCTGACCCACTGGCTCTGGATGGTCGCTTGGCAAGGATGAGAGGTGCCAGAGAGCACCCCAACTGGAGCCCCCCGAAATTCAAGTACATGAACCACTAGAAAAAGGTTTAGGTGACTTGACCATATGAAACACGACAGGGAGCAAAGCAAATAGCGCTCTGTAGATCAGAGCGGCACCACGCATACCATGTGCGGGGGCAGCGGATGAGTCTCTAGGCAGTCTTCTGGGAAGCACGGCATTACTTTTTCTGCAGGTCATAGTGCTGTGCTAATATATGTAACCTAGAGAATCTGGCAACTGCCCAAGTGACCTGCTTTGCTAGCCTCGTATAAAGCACATGGCAGTAATGCAGAGGTCAGGCTTTCTGAGGCAATTCTCCAAGGGGACACAGTTAATGTGACTTTCAGAAGTTCCCCACGTTTCTTGCACTGTAACTTCCTGGACAACAGTGCCACATATTTTCCAAAGACCAGACCTAACACAAACTACAAGTTTACACAGCCCATGCGAAAATGTATGTTTTCATTTTAGGACAGATTTTAGGACAGATTTTCAAGACATCCTTTTAAAAATAAACCATGTCTACACATAGGGTCAGGATGCCTAGAGACATCCTAAAACAACACTTTGTTTAAAGGAGCTTCCCTGGTGCTCTCACTGCCAAAGCAGCTTCACTAGCAAGTACCAAGCATGCAATTCCTGATCATTGCAATAGATAAAATAAAGCAAAGACAAAGACCTGCAGCAGGAAAAGGAACATAGCGGGAAGAACAAAGACGACCAGCAAGGAGAGGAAAGAACACTGAGAAAGAAAGGCAGATGGTCATCATCTAAGTGCTGATGAAATCTGCTCCTGATCAATATGGAATGCGACCATAAGGTACTAACTGATAGTCTGATGACAAGGAGCATATTTTCCCTTTGATCATTCTCCAATGTCAGTGGAAATCCACAGTGGCTTGAAGAGATACCAAGTGTTTGAGATGAATATCCAGCTTAGCACACAGACCATGAATGGAAGTAGAAATGAGTTTCTGCCTCTCCTCCCCAGGACTATCACTTCCATTTAATGAAGTCCGAGTGGTCAGATTTCACTGAGCTCCCTCCACTTTCTCTCTGCCAGAAACCAAGCTCTTCTTTCCTGTAGAAAGGCCTCTGCCCCCCTCCCTCACCAAAAAGAAAAGGAAGAAAGGAAACAAGACAAGATGCTAGGTGCCGCAGCTTACATGCGGTTCATCATGCCAAGCAGAACAGCGCAGGGCTGTCCAAATTCATCAAAGGACTAGAATGGCTGCATTATCTTTCATTTACCATTGACGTTGCTGTACAAGTCTTTCCTCCCTTGTAGCCTCACAGCTTCCGCAGCAGAGCCCTGCAAAACAACGACCTTGCAGCAATGAGCAGCTGTACAATAATACCAGGAGGTTCCCAAACCCAAGGTCGTGGCACTTTCAAGCCGGGCCTATGACTGGAGAAGATGGGAACTGCTTATCTAGTTAGTATCTCTGCAGACTCAGCAGCAGGACCATGACCAGCTAGTACAGTCCCTTTGCTATACTTGGTCAAAAAAGAAAAAGAATCAGGGAAGTCAGAGCATTTCACACTCTGCTCAGTCTTTTGAGAGATGAAAGCAAAGAGGGGATTTTCTGCTTAAGTACTTGCTTAGAAGGAGAAAAAAAAAAAAAAAATCTTGTAAGCTGTTCTTCTTTGTTTAGGCAGAGACTTTTTTTCTGTATTTCCAGTGTTGCAAAACACAGAGACAAACACATCTACTTTGCCTACACAGCAGTGCCAACCATAAAAGCCACAAAAGCTTGCATAAATATATGCCCGTCCCTAAAAACAGATGCACCTATCAAAGCATTGTTTAAAGTTCAGTCAAGCTGAGGGCCTAACTGAACTCTTTGTACTTGCTGTTAAGAACAATTTTACTCAAAGTAGTAACCAGGATTCAAACCAAGTAAGAAATAATGAACTTGGCTTTAAAGGGTTTGTGAGAAACCCAATTTGCAAATGCTAGCTGTAGCCAGCTATTGAACATACAAGCTTGACAGAGCCCAGAAGGCACT